CCTTTGCTGGGGGGGGGGCGAACGAGGTGGGCCGGCTGGCGTGGGGGTGGGAGGGGGCGAGCGCAGGCGTTGAGGCGGTGGGGTCCTCCGGCCGGGGTCCTTTTCCCAGGTCCCCGTGCTGCCCTTCCTTCTGCGGGAATCGGGAGGGGGGGCTCGCGGCTCCAGGCAGGGGAGAGGGCTGGCGCTCAGCCCCCCCCCCCGGCCTAGAACATGCCCCGCCCGTCCCACTCCACCAGGTATTGGACGGTGCCGTCCGTGGCGATGCGACGGGCCAGGATGCGGACGGCCTCCCCCCGCGCCAGCCGGCCCATCACCCCGAAGTAGCTGGTGCTGGCTGGGGCGCAGAGAGAGGGGGGCACGGTGGGGGGCAGGGGAGGGGGCGCGGCTTGGCGTTTGAGGGGGGGCGCTGGGCAGGGCAGGAAGGCGGGGGCAGGACGCTCCGGGCTCTGCTGCTCTGCGGCGGGCGTGGCTGCCACGCAGAAGTCAAGGGGGGGCTCATCGCTCCTGCTGTAAGAGAAGAGGGGGCGCTTAGTGCCGGCCCCTCCCCCAGGCCAAGAACCCCCCCCCTCCGCCACCGAGGGCCAATGGTGTGGCCCCTGACGGGCAGAGCCCACCCCCACTTGGAGATCTACCAGCCTGGAAGAGAAGGAGAACGGTGTGGGGGGGGTCTGGCTGATCTCTGATCTACCTCGGAGTCCCATCAGCCGTTGGGGTGCGTCCCGTCCGGAACACGGGTGGCCCAGCTCCACAGCCATCCTGTGGCAGCTTCAGTGCCTGCGTGGCATTGCCAGGACTGGAGCAAGTGGCGGTGGGTACCCCAGCTGCTTTCGGGACCTTCCTGCCCAGATGGACTTGGGGACACCGGCCCTGGGGAGGGTCACCTAGCCGCCTCAGCCCAGGGACCCTTTGCGGGCTTCTCCAGAGAGGAAGCCAGTGTGAGGATTGGGCCCCTTGTGAAGGGGCCCAAAGCCTCGGGCCCTGCACCCCTGGGAAAAGCTAGTTCTGCACCCCCCTTGATGCACAGAGGCGGCAAGGGTGGCCCCACGGGAGGCACAGAAGCTCCAGTGGGTTGCCCACACACACTTGGCCCATTGGGGCTCCTGCCCAGCCTGTTAGCTTCCTTCTATGAGGGGGGGGTGTCTTTGCCCATCGCCCGTGATGCCAGCCGATCTCGGGAACAGAGACCAACAGCCGGCCGTCTGTCAGACCAGCCACAAAGAATCATTGGGGGGGGGTCGCCTGAGTGGGGAAGGGGCTCTGCCAATCGGTCTCCCACCACGGCAGCAGGGGCCCGACACCCATCGGAGAACCTCAGCTGTGGCTGGAAGCACCAGCCACGGGAGGTGCCAGATGCCCCCTCCCCAGTGGAATCCGATGCCTGGCACCGGAGGGACGCCGCGGGGAGCCCCACGCCGCTCTGTGCCGCCCTGCTCACCTCAAGGTCCCTGCGGTGTTGGCCGAGGGATGGAAGGAGGCGAACATCCGGATCGGGGTGCTGCGGGGGGGGGGGGAGGGAGAGAGAGAGCAGAGCGTCAAGAGGGAGCCGGCCTGGTGAAGGCCGCCCGCCCTCTGCGCCCCCTGAACGCAGCCTCACCTGTCCTGGCAACGGGCGTCCGTGCGGCGGAAGTTGTAGCTGCTGCAGGCGCCGCCGTAGCCGCCGTAGCTCTCGTTAGGGCTGACCGGAGGGCTCTGCGCCAGCTCCTGCGAGAAAGGAGGGGCCCATGAGGGGCAGCCGGGGGCCAGCACCGACCCTCCCCCGTCCTCACACCCCCCCTCCGCTTACCTGAGTGAGGGCCCTGCTCAGCCGCTCCCTCTCCCTGGCGCTGCGCTGCTCCGTGCTGGAGGCTGCCCCCGGGGCCCTCGGGCGATGGCGCCTGTCTCTCCTGGGCTGCGGCCCCGACCCACACCTGCCCTGCCCTGAAAGCAAGCTGTAAGGGGCCCTCCTTATCTGTGCAGCATGGAGGGGGGGCTGGGGGGGAAGGAGCTGGGAGGGC